TTCCCCATGGTATGTTGATGGAGAAAGTGAAGTCGCATGGGGTCCAGGGTGTACTAGCTAGATGGATAGAGAACTGGCTGGGCAAAAGGAGACAGAGAGTTGTAGTGGAAGGGAGTTTCTTAAAATGGAGAACTGTGACCAGTGGTGTTCCACAGGGATCCGTGCTGGGACCACTGTTGTTTGTGATATACATAAATGATCTGGAGGAAAGTATAGATGGTCTGATTAGCAAGTTTGCAGATGACACTAAGATTGGTGGAGTAGCAGATAATGAAGGGGACTGTCGGAGAATGCAGCAGAATATAGATAGATTGGAGAGTTGGGTGGAGAAATGGCAGATGGAGTTCAATCCAGGCAAATGCGAGGTGATGCATTTTGGAGCATCCAATTCAAGAGCAAACTATATGGTAAGTAGAAAAGCCCTGGGGAAAATTGATGCACAGAGCGATCTGGGTGTTCAGGTCCATTGTATCCTGAAGGTGGCAACGCAGGTCGATATAGTGGTCAAGAAGGCATACGGCATGCTTTCATTCATCAGACGGGATATTGATTACAAAAGTTGGCAGGTCATGTTACGTTTGTATAGGACTTTGGTTTGACCACATTTGGCATACTGCATACAGTTCTGGTTGCCACATTACCAAAAGGATGTGGATGCTTTGGAGAGGGTGCAGAAGAGATTCACCAGGATGTTGCGTGGTATGGAGGGCGCTAGCTATGAAGAGAGGTTGAGTAGATTAGGATTATTTACATTAGAAAGACTGAGTTTGAGGGGGGACCTGATTGACATCTACAAAATCATGAGAGGTATAGACAGGGTGGATAGCAAAAAGCTTTTTCCCAGAGTGGGGGACTCAATTACTAGGGGTCATGATTTCAAGGTGAGAGGGGAAAAGTTTAAGGGAGATATGCATGGAAAGTTCTTTATGCAGAGGGTGGTGGGTGCCTGGAACGCGTTGCCAGCAGAGGTGGTAGAGGTGGGCATGATAACGTCATTTAAGATGTACCTAGACAGATACATGAATGGGCAGGGAGCAGAGGGATACAGATCCTTGGAAAATAGGCGACAGGTTTAGATAGAGGATCTGGATTGGTGTAGGCTTGGAGGGCCGAAGGGCCTGTTCCTGTGCTGTAATTTTCTTTGTTCTTCTTTGTTGTTCTTTGAAGTGATTGGTCTTGACGAGTCTTGACAGTGTGCATGTGGAGAGGATGTTTCCCCTTATGGGAGAATCTAAAACTTGGGGCCTCTGTTTAAAATAAGGGATCAGCCAGTTAAAACAGATGAGGAGAATTTCTTTCTCATAATGGGTTATGTGACTTTGGAACACTCTTCCTCAAAAGCCAGTAGAAGCAGTGTCTTTGAATATTTTGAATGCAGAAGTAGCCTCATAGAATCATTGGGCAGAAGGTGGCTCAGTGGTTAACACTGCTGCGTCATAGCGCCAGGGACCCGGGTTTGTTTCCAGCCTTGGGAGACCGTTTGTATGGAGTTTGCACATTCCCCTTTGTCTGCATGAGTTTTCTCCCACAGTCCAAAAGATGTGCAGGTTGGATAGATTGGTTGTGCTAATTTTTTAAAAAAATAGAATCCCTACAGTGTGGAAACAGGCCCTTTGGCACAACAAGTCCACACTGACCTGCAGAGCATCCCACCCAGACGCATCCTCCTGTAACCCACCTAATCTACACATCCCTGAACACTATGGGCAATTTAGCATGGCCAATCCACCTAGCCTGCACACGTTCAGACTGTGGGTGGAAACCCGAGCACCTGGAGGAAACCTACGCAGACACAGGGAGAACGTGCAAACTCCACACAGACAGTCGCCTGAGGGTGGAATCAAACCCGGGTCCCTGGCGCTGTGAGGCAGCAGTGCTAACCACTGAGCCATCATGCCGACCACTGACCCACCATGCTGCCCATAACTTGGGCTATTGCTCCATAGTGCCCAGGGATGTGCAGGTTAGGTGGGTTAGCAATGGGAAATGTGAGATTATAGGGATAGGATCATGGGCTAAGTCTGGTTGGGATGCTCTTTGGAGGATGAATGCATACTTGATGGGCCGAATGGCTTCTTTCTGCACTGTAGGGATTTATTGATTCTAGGTCGGTGGATTCTGGATAAACAATGATGTAAAAGGTCATCCTATTTGTAGTAGGAAGGAGTGTGGAGTAATCAGATTAGCGTTGATCTTATTGAATTGTTGAGGAAGCTCAAGGAGCCAAGTGACTTAATCCTGCTCCTAATTCATGTGATTGTATGTTCATTCAACTTTGTCATAATAAGTGTAATGGGGTTTTAAATGCTACAAAGTTATACTTACTGCTGACAAGCCTCTCTCCATCCAAAAATCCAATATTACGTTTGTGGAGGCTCAAATTTCTCCATTACAATAAAAAGATTCCATAAATTCTTAATTTTAAAATAATGTACTGATGATATTTCAGCTTCTAGCCTAATTCCATGTGTATATCTCAATTTTTATTTAATGTAAAACAAAATTACCTAAACTGAAAGATAGTCTGTGCAGCAGTTTTCATTTCCCGATTTGTTGTATTCAATCTTGCCTGCTTAGTCTGCTTAAAGATGTCCCTATTGTTAAATGCCTGAAAAACCCAAATTGTTGGTGCCAAGGTAAAAGTAACATTAGATAAAGTGAAATCCACACTGCAGAGATTACTAGAGTGTTGTGGACAGTCATGATCGTAGAAACTGGCCCATTCCATTTCTTTCACACACGTGAAACAACACTATATTGTGAGCTACACCTGGGAATTTTACATGTGAATAAAGAGTACCTTATGAGAACTCTTTTCCTTTTTAGCCCTATCGAGGTGATCAATGAGGGAGATGAAAACATTCTAATACTCTGTACTTAGCTAATTGTCAAGCATTCCCAGAGCAGCTATGGTTTAAAATTGATGACACTTAACTTTCACCAACCATGTTAACAGAGCAATATAGGATCACTTGCCCATTGTAAGCCTCTATTGATTTTGTCGTGGCTCCCATTCAATCCTCATTCAACCTCAAGTCAAACAAAATCCTAAAGAGCAGTAGTCACTGCACAAATGTGGCATTTTCTGTATCATCCCTGTGAAAAGCTGTCTGAATGTGATTGTGCTTAAGCAAGGTCCACACTGCTAGTATATGACACAAGATGTGCATTTAACATTCAGCACAAATCAAAATAGATAGTAAATCTCAGCAGGTGCTACTAGCATGAAGCACTCAAAGTGTTCAATGCCTTACTGAGCAAATAGACTGTATAGTTAAAAGCTGTTGCCTTAAAATTGAAGGCTGGAGATACTGTAACTTTCAGCGGCAGTTGATAAGATGGAAATTACTAAGAATGATATCCTTATGCAAACAGTTAACACATTTGAATCAAATTATTCCTTTCACAATCTAAACTGCAGTCCTGATCCTGCCTTTGGACTGTCAAATCTAAGTTAGACATTTGCAATCTAAGTCTAAATTTGTCAGACTTGCTGCATTGGTTATCTTTATTATTTCTTAATATTGCTAGAAGTTTTCAAACATTGTAAGGTCATAGTATGATGCTTACATTGCTAAGTACGACAAAGGATTAGTGCACAATAAACTGCTGGCAACTATTAAAATTTAATAGAGTAGCAACGGACTTTATTTTCCTGGAGTTGCTTATGCAGACACCAGGAATTGAAACTCCATCCCCAACAAGTTATTTTCAATCAGTTTTGACTACAATTAAAATATATTCAGTACGGAGGAAAAAAAAATCTGTGCAGGGCAAATTAATACGACTACCCTCTGTTTAATTAATAATTAATAGCTTATTATGTAGAAACCTCTTTAACACAACTCATCTTCTGTTGAATGTAAAAATTTAAGTGTCTACGTAAGTCAACAAACTTCTACTTACCTGTTTGTGTGCATGGTCATAAGAATTAATGTGATTGTCAAACTCCTGATGTTTGTGGTACTGTTTGTCACATAATTCGCAGTAGAAATTGGCTTTCAGGTCCTCAAGGGCCTTTGCTATGGCCTTCTCCTTTCCAGCATAATCCTGTATGGATAAAATTAATATCTCAGTATATCATTTTCGACCAATACGTTAGCGGAACAAGATACACCAAACAAAAAGTTGTTTCTGTAGCAACTTTTCTCAAGTGCACGCAAATGGGGAATAAAGCCAAATAAGACAATGGTGTCTGTCATCATTTTTCAACTCTGGAGAGTCTTTCAAGGAGCTAAAAGCAGATGCCTAAACTGATTGAATGTAGATAATCTCAGGTGAGAATAATGGCTCTTTAAATCAATATAAGATAGGATAACAGTACAATACCCTGTAATGCATTTTACTCTGTCTTCAAAAATAGAGAACAGAAAGCTATTAGGTATGCATTATGGTTCACCACTTGGGAAAAGTGTCAGTAATTTAAAAATGAGGAAGACATAGAAATCATTCAGAGGGACAGATGGACCTTAAGAACAGCTGCTTTAAGAATTTCTGGTAGGGGATAAAATGGGAGTTGGTATATATACCTCCTATTTATCTCCCACTCCTCCATCATTCCTAATAATCTAAACTAAAACAGCATCAGCAGCTAAGGTTAACTATGTTTTCATTCCTGGCAGCTTTGATTGATAGTGACAAATTCAATTCATACTATTAATGACATTTTTTTTCTCCTCACTTGATTTGCTTTATATTTGGTGCATTTAGGGATTTCTGATGAACTGTGAGCATGAGATCAATATTATTGAAGTTTCGCTAATATTAACTGAGGAGGGTTGGCAGAATTTAGGAGGTTAGCAATCAACAAATCAGTGCAGAAGGAATTTAGTATTGGGAAATGTGAAGGAACACATTTTGGGGAATAAAATCAGTGATGGAAGTATGGATTAATCTAATTACCAAAACAGAAATTGCTGGAAAAATTCAGCAAATTTGGCAGCATATATGGAAAGAAATCAGAGTTAACATTTCAGGTTTGGTGTTTCTGTTTCTGATTTCCAGCATCTGCATTTTTTTTGGATTAACTCAATGTAAAGAATTGTTAATTGAGCTGTAGAGTGGATTTTTTTTTTTGTTTGGAAAGTTGCTGAAGACAACAAAGAAGTCTGTTTTCTTTTACCAACAGGGCCATTCATTCAATGATGGTCTGAATCTCACTAGAAATCAGCCAAGTGTCATTTTTAGGAAGTTCATGGAGGCTTTCTCTCTGCGCGTCCCAGACAGTTTTCTCATGCTATCATCCCAAACTCGCCTTATTAACTATGCAAATTGTGCCAATGGTGCCCTACTCATAGCCTTCTCCCACTCACTGCAGGGACTTCCTGGAATTCCTGGCAATTGTAGCATCTCTAATACTCAATTGTGCCCACAATCCACTGCTGGATGCCTGATGTTGCCCTGCATGATTTATTTTACTTGCCCAACACATGCCAAAAAGAGGGTAATTGGCACACCGCTCTGCAAATGGGGACTGGAGGTCCTGGTGGATTGGCAGGGTGTGGGGTGCCTACAAGCAGTCATTGTCTATGTGCATGCCCTGCTATGCTGGTTGCTAGTGGAGAACTGGACACTAGCTGGAGTTGCCAAGTTCCTGCTCTGACTTTCATGTCAGGACTTGTTGCCATTTAGTTTCTATATGGCAGGTGGGAGAATAGGAAACTGCACACCAATGAGGTGAGATGATGTGAGAGGGAAAATGTTATTGCATGCCGATCCATACACATAGGCTTCTCAGCACTCACAAGTGAGAACGTGGTCTCAACGCTTGGTTGGAAATGGAAATTTTGCTCTTAACAGAAGTAAACTACTCACTGTTGATCTCATGTGATCCTCCTAACTTTGTTATCGTCGCATAACTTTAACTAAACAACTGTAGGTTTTGGGGCCCAGTTCAAATATGAGACGGAAGAGTAGTCTTAAATAGGAGGTCTATAATTTTTAAAATTGCTTTTCTAGTTCTAGTAGAATCATAGGAAAGTTACAGTACAGAAAGAGGCCATTCAGTCCATGTGTCTGTGTTGGCTGAATAAGCTAGCTGTCCATTCTAATTCCATTGACCAGCAACTGGTCCATGGTCTGTAGGTTGTAGTTCTTCAGGTGTAGATCCAGGATCATTTTAACAGAGTTGAGATCTCTCATCTCCACTAATGAATTGGGCAATGAAATCCAGATCCTACCACTCTCTGAATGAGAATAAGTTTCCTCATGTCCCCTCTAATCCTTGTGCCAATCTTTTTAAATCTGTGCCCTCTGGTAATGAACTCACTTTTGTGTACACTCTATCCAAGTCTTACATTATTTTCTATACCTCAATTAAATCACCCTTCAGCCTCCCCTGTCTGAAAATGAAACAAACTAGCCTATCCGATCTTCCTTATAACTGAAAATTTCAAGTCTTAGCAACAGTTTTGTAAATTTCCTCCGTATTCTCTCTAAAGAACTGTTGTCTTTCCTGTAATGTGGTGACCATAACTGTAAACAAAACCCGAGGTTTTGCCTAGCTGGGCCTCAAATAGTTCTAGCACTACATCCTTACTCTTGTATTCAACATTTTGTCCAATGAAGGAAAGCATCCCTGTAGCCTTCTTTACCACCTCATCAGCCTATCTAGCCATCTTCACGGATCCTGTGGACATGCTCACTATTGCCTCTGTCCTTCACTTACAAGACAAAATATCTTCTTAGTATCCACTCTATTAAATCCTTACATTTCAATTAGGTCAACCCTCATTCTTTTGAAATTCAATGCCATATGGACCTAGCCTGCTCAATCTTTCCTCATAATCCATTCATACAAGGAATTAGTTGAGTAAACTTTCTCTGCACTGCATCTAATGCAACTATAGTCTTTCTTAAGTCAGAAGAGACTTAAGTTGAGCACAGTACTGCAGCTGCAGTGAGCCATTGTTACTTTTCTACTCAATTTTCCTTGTAATAAACATCAACATTCCATTTGCCTCCCTAACCACTTGCTGCACCTGCAAACTAATTTTTTGAGATTCATTAATCAGGACACCTAGATCCCTTTGTCCTATAGAGGTCAACAGTATCTCTGTCCATTCAAATAATATGCTGCTTTTCTATTCTTTCTGCCTAAGCGGACAAGTTCACAATTTCCCCACATCATACGGCCACTGACACTGTTTTTGTCCACTCACTTAACCTATTGAAATCCCTTTCAGGACTCCTAAAGCCTTTTGACAATTTACTTTTCTACATACCTTCATGTCATCAGCAAACTTACCCAACATAATTCAGATCCTTCATCCAAGTTATTGGTATAAATTAGTTGAGGCACAAGCACTGCTCCCTGTAGCTCTCCAATAGCTACAAAACAAAAAGTGATACATGTATCTCTACTCTGTGCTTCCTGTTAGCCAACCAATCGTCTGTCAGTGATAAATGTTACTCCCTAAAACATGAGCTCTTATTTAGTGTTGTAACACTTCATGTGGCAATCTGCTAATACATTTTGATAATTCAAGTATATCAGGTCTAAAGGTTCCCCTTTTTCCACCTCCCCTATTAATTTGTCTAAGAAATCTAATAAAGTCATCAAATATAACATCCCTTTCACAAAACTCTGCATGATGCCTCTATGATTTTTTTTAAATGTCCCAATATCACTTACTTAATAAATTAATGGATTCCAGTAATATTTCCATGCTAGATGTTAAACTAACTGGCCTATAGTCCCCAGCTTTCTTAGATACATTTAGAGTCATATTTGTGACTTGCCATTCATAGGTCATAGAATCCCTACAGTGTGGAAACAGGCCCTTCAGCCCAGCAAGTCCACACTGACCCTCAGAGCATCCAACCCAGACCCATTCCCCCTATAACCTACCTAATCTATATATCCCTGAACATTATGGGTAATTTAGCATGGCCAATCCACCTAGCCTGTACATCTTTCAAATGTGGGAGGAAACTGGAGCAGCCAGAGGAAATCCACGCAGACACAGGGAGAATGTGCAAATTCCAATCAGACAGTTGCCCGAGGGTGGAATCGAATCCGGGTCCCTGGCGCCGTGAGGCGGCAGTGCTAACCACTGAACCACTGTGTCGCCCCTTCTACAGGGACCTTTAGAAAATATTGTGAATTTTGGAAGATCATAAATAATGCATCTAGTATCTTTTCAGCTACTTCTTTTAATACCTGAAGCTGCAGGCTATCATGTCCAGGGGATAGTTAACCTTTAGTTTTTATCGTTTTCCCAGTACTTTTTTCCCTAATGACTGTCATTGTTTTAACTGTCTTCCTTCCTTTTACCTTATGAGTTTCAAGTATTCTTGGAAGTATTCAATCATGAAGATGAATGTAAAATATATATTCAACACTGATGTCATTTCCTTGTTTAATTATTATTTACCATTATTAATTCACCAGTCTCATGCATTTAGAGGTGCCAAAGGATTGGAGTGCAGCAGATATAATATTCTTTTGAAGAATAGATAGTACAAGCAATTTAAGGCCAGATAAATAAACTTCAATAGTGGGTAAGGTTTTTAAAACAGTAATCAAAGAGAAATTCAGCAGGAAATTGGGGATATTTCAGTTGGTCAAGGGAAGCTGGCACAAATTTCTAAAAGATAAACCATGCTTGAATAATCTAATTGATGATATAACAGAGATTTTGATTAAGTAAATGCAATAGATGTTGTCTATATTGATTTTAAGGAAGTATTCAACAGACGACCATACAGAAGGCTAATTAACTAAATTGAAACTCTTGGAATAGAAGGCTCAGTGCTAAGTGGATAAAAATAATGACTTCTGGACAGAAAATAACAAGTTATGGTAAATGGTTATTTTTCAAACTGAACTTTTGTAGAGAAAGGTGTTCCTCGAGGGTCACTACTAGTACCACTGCTCTTTTTGCCAATTTATAAATGAGTTAGGAGGGGGTATAGTGGTTAACATCCTTCCTCTAAACTAGAAGCCCAAGGTTCAAATCCCACTTCTGAATTTGAGACTAAGGAAATTTGTTTAATAAAACAGCCAAACATAGAGTCATAGAGTCATACAGCGCAGAAACAGACCCTTC